AGTACAGGGGGACAAACACCTCTCGGGCCCTACTCCCCACACTGTTCCTGATACAGGCCAGGATGCTGTTGGCTTTCTTGGCCACCTGGGCACACTGCTGGCTCCTGTTCAACACGGAATTACAGAAAGCTACCCCCTTTAAGCAGCCCTGGCCTCCCTAACTTTGGTGTTCAACGTGCCTTTTCTTAAATATTATTTGCTTTGCTGTAAGTGACATCACTGCAGTTACAGCAACGCTTGGCTTTCAGCTGTCAGACTGCACACTGCATTTTAAATCCCTTCCTGTCCAATCCCTTCATCATTTCTGACTAAAAAGCTAAATTTAAAATAAAATATTCTATGTGAGGCAGGGCAGGGTCTCCAAGTCAGTGTTTCTCTTCCACACCAATAGGCTGTTGACAGATCTCTGCTAATTCCTGTGAATGTGCAGCTCTGAATCTCCCCTTCTCAGAGCTGCTTCCTTATCCGAGTCCCACACCAGGCCCTTCAGTCACATCAAACCACTTTGTGAGTGTCTGAAAGCAGCTAAACTTCAATCCCGGATGACTAAGGGGAAAAAATACATAGTTTACTAAATCACTTTAAATTTTAGAGTCGCTCTCTCCCTCTAAACTTGTCACTTGGCTTTACATTGTGAGCTCCCAGCAATGGAGAGTGACTCTGAGGCAGCGCAGAGGGGTAGGACGGAGACCTGTGGGGCAGGATGGAGCCCTGTGGGGCAGGATGGAGCCCTGTGGGGTACGACAGAGCCCTAAGGGGCAGGATGGAGCCCTGTGGGGCAGGATGGAGCCCTGTGGGGTAGGATGGAGCCCTGTGGGGCAGGATGGAGCCCCAGGATGGAGCCCTGTGGGGTAAGACTGAGCCCTAAGGGGTAGGACGGAGCCCTAAGGGGCAGGATGGAGCCCTGTGGGGCAGGATGGAGCCCTATGGGGTAGGACTGAGCCCTCAGGGGCAGGATGGAGCCCTGGCACTAACGGGAGCCACACGGTTGCCGGCGCAGGCAGCACCCACCAGTGCTCAGATGGGTAGCTTGCGAGGGTCCCATTTAAGACCAGTGTTGCAGACCCTCCACCGTCCAGGTTGATGGCGTTGATGACAGAGCCCTGGCACTAACAGGAGCCACACGGTTGCCGGCGCAGGCAGCACCCACCAGTGCTCAGATGGGTAGCTTGTGAGGGTCCCATTTAAGACCAGTGTTGCAGACCCTCCACCGTCCAGGTTGATGGCGTTGATGATTCCCTGCTTCTTCAGAAATTCAGCCATTTCCCAGAGGTTGACCCTGCGAAAGCAAACGGTTCATTGCTCATCCCTGCTATTTGATGTCAATGAGTGGGAGCTTGGTCCCTCTCCTCAGCAGAACGGGGGATGCTCTCCCTCTCCCATCCCTCTCCCATCCCTCTCCCATCCCAGCTGTGCTGACTCGCTGCCTGGAGGCTGCATCAGCTTTTTCTGGCTCTGCCACAAAGACACCAAACAGCGGTGTCTTCAACTGACCTCCTGAGCTCTGCAAGTCTCTGCCTTAAAGCAAATTACCGACAGCCACGGAGTCCCTGCAGTTCCAGGGACCGATCTCGTCCCTGCCCCGAGACCTCCCCGCAGCCCTGGCCTTACCCTCTGGATTCTGTCTGTCCATCCACGTGAACCAGGACCAGCTGCCCCTGACTGTCGTGTCCCACCGCCGTCCTGGCCGAGATCACGTTGATGAACCTGTCGAAGGTTCCTGTGCAGGAGAGGGGAGAACTCACACACCAGCTGGGTGACAGGACTGCCCATTTTCACACAGCTGTCTGCAAAGCAGTGCCCAGCGAGGAGCTCATCTGAACTGAACCACAAGGAGAACAGGAGCCCAGGCTCCTCTTGTTCATCCAAACCCACCCAGGAATAATATTTCCAGAAGGATTCTCGGTGTGGTTTTGGCTGGCACAGGGACAAAGAGGGGGATTCACAAGCCCTCAGTTTTAAACTCCTGTAAGAGGCATCTGCTTTGAGTTTTTCTGGACAAGTATTAATACCAAGCACACCACCACTTTACAGTCCTCAGCAAATTAGATTAGATTTCAGGCTTTAGACTAGATATCAGGAAAAAATTCTTTCCTGTGGCTGCTCCATCCCTGGAGGGGTTCAAGGGCAGGTTGGAGGGGGCTTGGAGCAATCTGGTCTGGTGGGAGGTGTCCCTGCCCAGGGCAGGGGGTTGGAACTGGGTGGGCTTTAAGGTCCTTTCCCACCCAAACCATCCTGTGATTCTGTGATTCTATGAAATTCTGTCCAACAGGTGAGTGCAGCCTATTTCTTGTACTGCACTTGCCACGGACTCGGGGTAAAGCACCACAGAAGAACTTTGGACCTTTTAAGTGAGCAGCAAATTGCAAGGAGACAACCCAGCTCCCACTGCTACCCCTCCTTCCAGCAGCCCCGTCGGTGGGAAGGACGCTCCAGGGCTTTGCAGTATTTACCTGTGGTTTGAACGTCCCCGCACTCAGCCACGCGGCTCTGGCTGACGTACACCTCTCCATCCCTCAGCAGCCAAACCACCCCGCTCACGAGCTGCACAAAAGGGTTTGCTTGATCCAAGACGTCTTCCTCCGACAGGTAACTGGGGAAGAGAGAGCAGGAGGGGTTACCCACAGCCACAGCAGCACCGGGGAATCACAGAATCACAGCATCTTAGTGGTTGGAAGGGACCTCTGAGATCATCGAGTCCAACCACAAAAAAAAAAAAAAAAAAAACCAAAAAAAACCAAAAAAACCTCACCAAACAAATACAAAACACACCACACCAAACGCCCACCAAAAACACTGCACCCACCAACTAAACCCCACACTCAACACCTCACCATAAACCAATAACCTTGGGCACTAGAGCAGGCCCTGAAGAGCCATGTCTATACGTTTCTTAAATCCCTCCAGGGATGGTGACTCCACCACCTCCCTGGGCAGGCTGTTCCAGGGCCTGACCACTCTCTCAGTAAAGTAGTTCTTTCTAATATCTAATCTAAATCTCCCCTGCCCCAACTTCAGACCATTTCCTCTGGTCTTGTCGTTCGTCCTTTGGGAGAAGAGGCCAACACCTGCCTCTCTACACCCTCCTTTCAGGTAGTTGTAGAGGGCAATGAGGTCTCCCCTCAGCCTCCTCTTCTCCAAACTAAACATGCCCAGTTCCCTCAGCCTCTCCTCATAGGACTTGTTCTCCAGACCCCTCACCAGCTTGGTGGCTCTCCTGAGGGAAAAGCCTCTCCTGCTGCCAGCAGGCTCCAGAAGCGGGGAGGAGGGGAGGAGGAGGAGGCTGGATGAAGGCCACCCACAGCCAAAACTAGAGGCCAACCAGTGCGAAACACCAATTCCACAGCCAGAGTGGGCCCTGCTCTTCGCTAATCTGCACAAAACCACTGCTAACGATGGTCCCAGGCCACTGTGCATCAAACAACGCTGGCCAACAGCATGGCCAGTGGACCTCAGCCAGGACAACACGGGCAGAAAGCACCTGGCAGCAACGTGAGGGCAGAGCCGTGGCCAAACACTCCGGGATCTGCGGAAGCAGCTGGAACATCTTGCTGTCTGTCAGCTCCCATCCTGCAAAACGTGGCACCAAACAGCTTTTGAGAGGGTTTTCAGCAACAGCAGCCGCTCTGCCGGCAGCTGCTGGGAGGAGAGGACGCTGCTGGCTGCTCCCTGCTCCCCACCAGCTGGGGAAGAGCTTCCTCCACTCTTCCAGACAGCAAAACCCTCCACTGAACGGTTCAGCAACCACTTCTGTGATTGGAAATGTCACTGTGGGGTGCTTCCCAAGGGATATTCTTCTCTCAGGAATCTGGGTGGTGAGGAACACCAGAGCCTGATGCTCGGTGGTGGCTGTAGGTGCCAGGAGAGGAGAGCAGCAGAGGCTGGGGCTCAGGAGCTGCACCATCACCATGAGCTCTGCCTGTGGGTCCTGGTTTAAATCCGACTGCTCTACGTGCTCCAGTCAGGGCCTGTGAGAGCCCAGGGCTCAACTTTTGGGTTTTTAGTAGCCACAACTGCAGCCGAACCAAGCTTCACGCTCGGTAGAGAAGTGCAACAGAAAATACTTGAAAACACACAAAAAGAAAACCCTTTACTGAGGGGAAGGGAACACGAAGATAAAAGGAACACGGCTCTTCTGAAAATGGGTCAAACAGGACAAGAGCTTGAGCATAAACTAATCAACTGTCACTTTTAAAGCTGCAATTACCCACCCCGGGTGTCGGTGGCAGAGGCAGCACCTTTGCTTGGTGTGGGGTAACAACGTGCCCCTGGTGCACCCTCCTGCTGACCACAACACAGGGAGACAGGGACAGTTGTGAACCACCTTCCCACCACCCTCAGAGACCAAATTATTCTCTACAGCAAGACTATTCCAGGTGTTGTGTTTTGGAAGCCATGAAGACACCGAGCAGACAATGACCCACAGGGTGCCATGGCTGTATTGAAGATGGGGAGTCCTGCCAGGGCAGGGCTGAGACTGAGGACTCAGCAGTGACCTGGCAGTTGCTGTTGGTCCCCTCAGAGGCCTCCTCACTGAAGTGGACATCACCAACTCCACCAGCCCCTCCAGCATGGAAATTAAGGCCATGGTTCTCGGGGCTGTCGGGGAATGGTACAGTCAGTGTGGCCTTGCAGGGCCCCTTGCTGAGGTCTGAAGGCACATGGCAGTGGGCTAACAGAAGGGTGGAGAACATCAGCCAACATGAAGCAGCTTCCAAACTGCATCTCAATCTTCTGAGACCACCAGAAGGACCTCTGGGAACCCTTCTAGGACCTTCAGGTTGCCCACTGCTGCTGGGAAAGGGCAGCTACCTGGGGCTTTACTTTCAGCAAGTGCTAGTGGTCCACTGCTGCTGGGAAAGGGCAGCTACCCGGGGCTTTACTTTCAGCAAGTGCTAGTGGTCCCTCACTCAGCTGTTCCTCATCAAAGGGTGCTTTGAGCTTTTGTCTCCAGCTGATTGGGGAATGTCACACCCCTGCCCCTGCTGCCAGGAAGAGGCCAATATAACCACCAGGCTGGGACCACATCCCAGCAGCTGAGATGCAGTGGGGAGCTGGATATTGTGCAGAGGGTGGTGGCTGTGGTGACACACCACAGGGGACAGCCTCCAGCAACAACTGCTACAACTGCACCCAGCCTGAGCTGTGGAGGGAGAAGGCAGCGCTCCACAAATTGGGCTCCTGGGATCCCTGGTGCCTGTTGAAGGCACCAGGTGAAGCTGGGGCCAAGGGAAATGGTGTCCTAGTGTGTGGTGGCTGAGGAGCTACGCTGCCGAGATACGGAGCCCCAGGTCTGGATGCCACACAGCAGCAGGGAGGATGAGACAGAGAAGGACAGACCTTCCCTAACGGCCAGCAGAAACAAAGCCCTGAACCCCACAACACCCAGAAGGAGCACCCTGTGTCTGCTCACTGGGGTGATGAAGGCTCTGGCAGCAGGAGGGAGATCTTCCTCCACCTGGGTTCAGGAGCTCTGTGCTGGCAGAGCCTGAACCCCACAGCAGCCCCAGGGGAGGTGGGTGAGTGATGTGGGGGAAGCTCCTGGCTGTGGGGGGACAGAGCCCCCCATCTCCTAACCAGTCTGGGGGCTCAGATGTTGTGGGGAGGCTGCTGAAGCTTTTCCAGCCCCCAGGTTACTGTCCCCCTGCTGCTCTTCCCCATGGGCACCAGCCAGGGGAAACCCACAGCGCATCAAGAGCCACCTGCACTGCCCTGGGGGTGACAGCCAAGGGTGGGCTTCCCATCCTGCTGGGGAGGAGGCAGGGCTTGAGAAGCAGTGGATGGATTCTGGTGGTCAATATGCAGTAGCACGGCTCATGTTGACAATAAGAATTGTTTTTTTACAAGGCTAGAACCCTCCCTTGAGGACTGACTGGCAGAGGTGGCACCCACACCACCACGTGAGGCAGAAGGAACTTCTGCAAAGAGGCAACTGGTGAGGAGAGCTTTACACTGGGGGATGACCCAGGAGGGAGACAATCACCCACAGGCAAGTGAGGCAGTGGCAGGCCAGGCTGGCAAGCAGAGGCTGCAGGGTGGCATGGACAAGAGAACCTGAAACAACAACAAAATCCAAACAAAAGGGGAGCTCAGCCACGTGCACACAAATAAGGAAGCGGTGGGAGGACGTACGGGGAAGCTCTCACCCTCCTCCTGGAAAACTGGGAGTGGGTGCCATGGGGAAGCTGGACAGTAGCACAGGCAGAACAGGCACAAGCGGGGAGAATCACAGAATCTTCTAGGTTGGAAGGGACCTTAAAGATCATCTTGTCCAACCATCAACCTAATTCTGACAAAAATAGACACCCGCACAACAAACAAGGAGCATCATCACTAAACCATACCTCCCAGCACTACATCAACCCGTCTTTTGAACACCTCCAGGGATGGGGCCTCAACCACCTCCCTGGGCAGCCCATTCCAATGGCTGAGAACCCTTTCCGTGAAAAAATTGTTCCTAATATCCAGCCTGAACCTCCCCTGGCGCAACTTGAGGCCATTTCCTCTTGTCCTGTCGCCTGTTCCTTGGGAGAAGAGACCGACCCCCACCTCTCTACACCCTCCTTTCAGGGAGTTGTAGAGAGCGATAAGGTCTCCCCTCAGCCTCCTCTTCTCCAGGCTGAACACCCCCAGCTCCCTCAGAACTGGAGATCTGTGGAGCGGCAGGGCTGCAGCTCACTGGGATCAGGCAGACGTGACAGGACAGCGTGTGCGACTGGGAAAAGCCTCATGGCCACAGACCCTGGCACTTACGGGGGACTGACACCACCCTGGCATCTGCTGGAAGGGCAACGCAGCAGGGAGATCTGTGGAGCGGCAGGGCTGCAGCTCACTGGGATCAGGCAGACGTGACAGGACAGCGTGTGCGACTGGGAAAAGCCTCATGGCCACAGACCCTGGCACTTACGGGGGACTGACACCACCCTGGCATCTGCTGGAAGGGCAACGCAGCAGAGCACGGGCAACCCAGGAGATGCCTGGGTTTCTACTGAACTTAAGACAAACTTTTTTATTGTAAAGGGTTGTCAGTCACAGGAACAGTTTCCTCTACTGAGCTTGTGGAGTCTCCATCCTCAGAGATGTTCAAAACCAGACTAGATGTGTCCCTGAGCAACCTGCTCTGGTTAATGAGGCACCTCCAGATGTCCCTTCCAACCCCAGCACTCCTGTGTTATGTAGTTACACGTTCAGTTCTGTAGTCCACTCTGCCTCTCCTCTGTGGGGAGGACAGAGATCTCTTCCCCCTTCTACCATCACCAAGTGTACCTGCTGCATGTTGGGAGAGGAGACACAGGAACCTAAGCAGTTAGAGGTGACCAGAGTAACTTCCCCAGCTTCTCTTCGCCCTGGGAAAAAAAGCCAATGCCCAGAGAGACAGCTCAGTGGGGTAAAAGTAGGACATCCTGAACTTCAGCATTCAAAGCATGGTTCTACCCTCACCAGGAGAGGCCAAGCAGGCAGTGCCTGGGCAGCGCTTCCCACCTCAGTGATTGAAGGGGAAGAAACGTTTGGGGTGCATCAAGAAGAGTGTGACCAGCAGGTGGAGGGAGGTCATCCTCCCCCTCTGCTCTGCCCTGGTGATGGGCATCTGGAGCACTGTGTCCAGTTCTGGGCTCCCCAGTTCCAGAAAGACAGGGAACTGCTGGAGAGGGGACAGCAGAGGCTACAGAGATGATGAGGGGCCTGGAGCATCCCTCTGACAAGGAAAGGCTGAGGGACTTGGGTCTGTTTAGTCTGGAGAAGAGAAGGCTGAGGGGGAATCTGATCAACGCCTATAAATACTTAAAGGGTGGGTGTCAGGAGGATGGGGCCAGGCTTTTTTCAGTGGTGCCCAGGGACAGGACAAGAGGGAACGGGCACAAACTGGAACACGGGAAGTTCCATCTAAACACGAGGAGGAACTTCTTTGCTGTGAGGGTGGCAGAGCCCTGGAAGAGGCTGCCCAGAGAGGTGGTGGAGTGTCTGTCTCTGGAGACATTCAAACCCCACCTGGACACATTCCTGTGGGACCTGCTCTGGGTGGACCTGCTCTGGCAGGGGGTTGGACTGGATGATCTCCAGAGGTCCCTTCCAACCCCATAGCATTCTGTGATTCTGTGTAAGAGAGCGCTCTCCAAACATCCCCCAATTCTTACCCAAACACCATGGTGCCATCCTTCCGGATGCCGAACTGAGCGTTCTGCAGGCCTCCAGAGTTTCTCACCAGCTTCCCATCACTCACAACATTCCCAAGGCACTCTCCAGTTTCCATGTTGAAGTACCCACCGTTCTGGGCCACCAGACACTTCCTGAGCCTTGCGGTCTCTTCCACGGTGGCTCTGCGTTGAGCCTGGCAGCCTCCTGTGCCCCCCGGCTCTAGCACAGAGAAGGTCCTCAGGGGGTTCCTCACGAAAGTGAAGTGGCCATAGACCACCTTGCGGTTCTCGCCATCCGGGGGGATGTAAGAAACAAACGTTCTGGTGGTAGCCACCGGGCCATCCGTCCTGTTGTCGCTGGGCCAAGCTTCGTGTGTTACGTTGCCATACTTGATGGGCTGACAGTCTCTGACGTACCTGTGGTGGTGCCGAGGGCCGTGCTGGGAGGGGAAATAGGGCTGCAGCAGAGGGTCGCTGGGGGGGCTCCTGCAAGGAGACGATCCAGTTGCCCCAAGGTTGCCCTGGCAGAGCGTGTCTGCAGCCCGGTGTCACGCTGTGCTCCCCCCCAGGTGCCAACCTGACCATTATCTCCTGTAACCCTGCCCAAGCCATAACCACCCGTGGTGGCCACAATGAGCACATCTGGTCATGACGGCTCCATCCAGCTCCATGTGCGTTCGGGGAGATGGTAGCCAAGGGCTAACTTGAGCAATGCCGGTACTGTGGTCGATATGCAAATACAGGTCAATCATCTCACTCACATAATTACCGAGCAGCCCAAGAGCCCTTGGAGCTCTCCTGCACGGCAGCGGCTGCTCGCCAGGATCTTCCTTTAAGCGGGGACACCGCTCAAGGTTCCTCCTGGAGATTCAGCACCTCCTCGCTGCAGCAGATCCTCGGTAAGCGACGGACCGCAGGCTAAACTTTGAGATGTGAGCCAGGTGATGGGAAGGACTGATTGCACATCTGAGACATAAACCACTGACCAGGTCCGGGGCCAGGACTGGATCCAGCCGCACCAGGCTCCTCTCCGAGATGGAGTTTGGGAAGCCAGGGGGGTCCTCCGACTATAGGTCAATCATCTCACTCACATAATTACCGAGCAGCCCAAGAGCCCTTGGAGCTCTCCTGCACGGCAGCGGCTGCTCGCCAGGATCTTCCTTTAAGCGGGGACACCGCTCAAGGTTCCTCCTGGAGATTCAGCACCTCCTCGCTGCAGCAGACCCTCGGTAAGCGACGGACCGCAGGCTAAACTTTGAGATGTGAGCCAGGTGATGGGAAGGACTGATTGCACATCTGAGACATAAACCACTGACCAGGTCCGGGGCCAGGACTGGATCCAGCCGCACCAGGCTCCTCTCCGAGATGGAGTTTGGGAAGCCAGGGGGGTCCTCTCCGAACCTCCGCTCAAGGGGAGGGTCTCCCTAACAGCTCCCTCTGCCCCTGCCCTCCCTGCAGTACATAACCCAGTGTCCCTCACCACCCGGCCTTGTTAAACCTCTGTCATGCATCAAACTTGGTGAAATCCCCGGTTTAGATCAATAAATGTGTCACAGCTTCTCTCCACCCCCGGGCGGGGGGTGAGAGCTGCCGGGCCTGGGCTGGCGGAGGCCCCACCGGCACCCCGGGCCCCCGCGTCTCCCCCTGCCCCCGGGGAGTCCCGGTACCGCTGTAACCCAACCACCCCGCCTTCAGGGGGAGCTCTCCCGCTTAGTCCCCGCACCACCTGGCCCACCTCGGGCCACCGGCCACCGCCCCCCGGTGAGGAGCCGCCAGGAAGGGACACCCCCCCCCCCACCCGCACCGGGGACGGCAGAGCTGTCACCGCCCCGCTCACCCGCGCGGACACTCACCCGGCGCCCCGCACCGCCTGCAGCCAGCC